GTTCAGTGAAAAAAGCTTTTGATTCCGTCTGGTTTATGAACATCTGCCATGAAAGAAAAACATTAATAATACACATACTTAATGAGCTTCAAATACACATTCAATGACGCCATTTATTTCACTTTATTTACAATCAATGGCTTTTTTTCTCTACAATCTTCCAGAAATTCGCATTCAGAGCAAAAAAATATTGAATATTGAATAAACTGGTTAAATTTCTGAAAGATCTGAACATTAATAAAGTTGTTTTTAATAAAAAATTTACATATTTTTTCGTGGGGTGCCAACCTTAAATATTGCTTCACTTTGCAAAAAACTAATCACAGCGAATTTAATGATATAAAATTGCATATATTTGTCTTCTAAAATAACATGCATAAAATTCAAAACGTAGTGAAGTAACAGATTTACTTTCAGCGTTGTTTCAGCTCAAAATGTATTGAATAAAACGAACAGCAGAGAATATTTGGTATTTAAAATTAGGTTACTTTGCCAGTGAGTATTTCCCGACCTGTTAGATTGGGCAAACTTGATCATTTTGCTTTTGAACATTTTCAGGGGTCTGTTATTCCAAAATTAAGTTTTTATGAACGATACGCATGGCAACTTTTCTATAATTGCTTTTGTAGAGAATATGCAAATTAAAATATCCCAAAATATGCCAGTTGTTCACAAAAATAATCATTTTTCAGAATAACTTGTACATTAATAAATAACAAATTACCTTAGCGAACCTAAGACCGACCATTTAAAAAAAAAATAAATCAAACGTGTCATAAAACAATTTAACGTTCGCTAGCTTTCGCTGTTTTTCGTGTTTGTTTATGTTAAAAAAGTGTTTAGAAGCAATATATTGAATGTTATTTATACTTTTTCTTACAGACCATCCATAAAAGAAACTATTACTTAATAATGTTATAAAGTAGTGATTTTCAAGAAACTGACGCATGACTAAACACTTTCCGCACAGTTCAGAGCAGTTTTGAATCAAGCCATCAAGAAAGTGTTAATGTAAATTATTGACTATTAAGAACTTTTAACTAAAATAATTTATTTCCAAGATATACCGCTGCTCATACGGTCATAATTTCAAAGAGGCACTGCATTAGGATAGCAACAAATCGATTTAAGCACATTCACACATTTACTTATTTTTCGATTCGATTCGTTTTGTTATTGACAATTTAATCCTCCAAATAAAAATGCTGATTGAATGCAATTTTTGAGATGAGACTTAAAGTCATTTAACAATTAAACGACATTTATTTAAGTAAAATGATTAATACATTTACGAAAAATTATAGCTCGAATTATTTACAGACACCAAATACAAAATGTTACGTATGCCGTATTACAGATTACGGTAGGGTTTATTTTTCTAAACAATTAAAGAAAATGATCTGTGGAGCATGAACGGTGTGCAAAAGTTGAAGCCAAATCCGAATTTCGCTCCATAAAGTTATTTCGACTTTCCATCTGCTAGGCGCCCGATTTTTTAATCGCTGTTAATTTTTAAGTATTGTTGTCAATTACTAATAATTTATGGATGTGGCTTTCATTTAAGTGCTTCGACCTTATCAACCTGCTTTTTCTTTAGAAAGTCAATGTAAAGCGGTCGAAAATGATTGAACAAAATTAAATAAACTGATTTTTTTTATTGTATCTCAAATGCTGCGAGATCAATGCAGTAAATTGGTACCTACTTCAAATTATTACACCAAAAAACATTAAGAGTGTTTTCGATAATTGAAAGCAACAATCAACAGCTCCATTCAAAGCAGCAAAATATCAGTTTGAGGTGAGAAATAAATGCTAAAGTTTCGAACTGGTTTTTAGGATGCTTTTCCTTTGTATTCGAAATATTAAGTATTAATAACTAGTAACTTAATACTCAACCAAAATATTATTTTACCGCTTCAAGTATTCTGGAAATATTTTTAATATCGCAAATTAGTATTTTTTGCTTTCACCACATCATCTACGTCTAATGGACTATAAACTTGCTAACAAACTAACGGTTTTAAGTTGTATAAATTGTACATAGAAATAAATACTTAATATGTAAAAGAAACAAAAAAGCATCTCGTAAATAATGTCGAGCTAAAGCGATCATGATGTTAGTGGCTATGGGCTAAATAGTAGATATTTTAAGGAAGTTGCCCATTGACATGAGGGCTAGAAGTGGCATACACAAAATAGGACTGAAAATACTGTGTTCAAGATAAGACAGGCCACTGTGGAGATAACGGAAACCGTAAATTAATCGGCAAAATGGTTAAACTCTTAGACAAAGAAAAACGAAGAAAATAGTTATAAAGTCAGTCAGAAGTTTTGCGCGTGATTCCCTTCGAAGTGGTTACCCAACTACGTTTCCTCCTCATCATTTTTACACGCACTATCGCGATCGAGCAAATGCATACTGCTGATGGTAAAATCTTGCTTTACAAGTAAATTGTACTCTTCTTCTTACATGCCACATAATATAATCAAACGCGCCCTATAAGTAAGACTTTCAGCAGCGCAATAATAATACACCACACTCCCCTTACACAGCTACTTAGGTAATGATTTTTAATGGTTATAAACACCGTTACTCCGATACAGATATCTATTTTTATTTTTATTACTGGAGAAGTCGTCTGTTTATCAATAAACAGAAATCGCCGGCCGTAGTACATGATTGTCGGACCGAAGAGTTCTTGAGTTGCAGTTGCTGATCGTAAAATTGTGCTAAACGAGGACGTTCACATTTCGTTGTTTATCAACAGCGATCAGTGCGTCACCAGCATATTAAATGGTGAAGAATTGGTTGGCGGAAGTTCATGCATGAATATGCTTTTTAAATGTATGTGGGGGACCTGGTCTTTACATAATACATAACACAAAAGCCCTGCTAGAATTAATCATTGGTAACAACACGATTTTACGCCAAATTGATTACAAATCTGCACGTAGGAAAAATGTATATTTACACCAATAAACCAAGTTAATCAGTTTCTCTTCCTTACTTACCTTAAATTAGGTGAAGGGGTATAAATGCTGTAATGATTTCAATCAAACATCGACATAAAATCAAAGAAAGTTTTATCAACTCAGATACTGATATCCTTCATATATGTAGTAGGTATCCCTCATACAGAGATAATTTAAAAAAAAAAACAAAAAACAAGAGTAACTCTATGTTAAACAGGAACCAAATCATCCATAACACTAGCGAACATCAAGCTTTGTCATTTTCTTATAATACATATCAAGGAATATGTATTAAGTAGGTATGTACTTGAATATTTTTTTAAAATCATGTAATAGTAGGCAAGCAGTTGTTATAGATGTTTTTTCTAGAACTCGAAAGAACACTCCCTAACATTAGTTTTTGTAAACACCTGTGTGAGTTATCGCTATAATTAAGTATACAGCCTTCTTATACAATGCAGTGTTCAAGCCTTGGGGAACACAAAACATTTTTCATTTATAAAGTTAAGGAATGCATATTAGCACTAGAAGCCCAAATTGAAGATCAATATAGAATTCACCAACTTGAATAAAATTACCTCTTTTTCAAAAATTGTTCATTTCAGCGATATCGTCACAGAGTACCTACGCTTTTTATTTAAAAGGTATTACCTATACTAGGGTATTAAGGATAATCCTAATAGGTGGAAATAAACGAACGTCCTATAAATGTACATCCCTACATATATTTTATTAATGATATTTACACAAAACGTTCTTTACGAAAAAATTGGATTAAAAGTTAGTTCATTATTCAAGACAACTCCACTTCAGGCGCTGTCATGTTTTATATATTTCTCAAGAATAAACAGAAAATAAAACTAAAACGAAATAAAATAGAAATATATTTTTGTTTGTTTGGCTCTTGTTTGCTGGTTCACACGGTTGCACATGCAGTGATAATAGCTTAATTTGTTTAACTGGATGGTTTCAGTATTGATGAGTCCCCATCCGAAAATGGTAAAATTATAGAAAACTTAGAAATTATTTTATTAGATTGATTCTCAAACTCCTATCTGACTGAATTATAAAAGTATTTAATTAATAGCTCACAAATTCAATGAATCGCTCAATCTATCACATTTGAGCAGTTAAGTAAGACACGCTTTGTAATTCTCGTCCAATTACTTAGATGCTATGCTATCTTCTAGAGAAGTTTTACGAAGTAAATAATTCTTCGTCTGCTTGCAGATTTGTAAACCACCGAAGCAGATATCGTTCCAAATAAAATTACGAAGGATCAAAAGTGTTCGGCTTTCACGGCTATTCCTTGAAAGTGGTGAGATTTTTGCGTTTTGTGGGCGTCGTGGAAAAAATGTCTTCTGATGTTTCGTACGCACGAACGGTGTTGCATCTTCAGAGGTGTTTTGCTGGAGAGAGCTTACACTGCACTTGAGCTTTCGAGCGCAACTGCATTGTGCCCTTGAGCGCGGAACACCTCTGAAGATTCAAACCGCTCGCCCTAGAGAAACGTCAGGTAAAAATTTATTGACGACGACGCTCAAATGGGTCAATAACTGGCCAGTTTATTAACACATTATTCTGGCTATTATTAATTCGCTGATATGTTCGATATTAATATGCATGCAAATGCGTTGCCACAACTAGGTGCTAATCTAATACGACATTATGTAAGAAACAATAATATAATAAATAGTTATTGCCTCATTTCTTTCAGCATGTGCCTACCATCATTTATCATTGATTGTGGACTAGGTAGTAACAAGTAGGAAGTACCAAACTCTAATTAAACATTAATCAAATTGCATTAAATGCTGAATTGTATTTATCAAAAAGGGCAGATAACATAGCAAAACTAGCAATAATTATCACAATATCACAATAAAGAGAAGTTAAGTACTATGGCAAATTTTTGTTAAAATGTATAATGTAAATATATATTTTGGATTTTAAAATAATGAAGCCTAAATTGTAGGTGGTTGTGCAAGTGGTATCACCGATAGATATCGTTATGCCATCCTACCTACCTTCATATCCATAATAATTTGCTGGAAAAGGCCTCCCAGCCCTGACTCCTTGTCAATGGAAGTTTCCATGTTTTCTCACTTAAAAACTGATCACTCGCGTAAAATCCACATTCGCATTCACAGTCTGATTACGAATTAAAAACTACCCGATTCTCACAAAACTCTATAATCAGTTCCCAGAGTTCCATCTTTTATTGCATAAAAAGTTCTATTCTCAATAGAGAACATCGAATGATTTCGGACTTTGTAGGCGAAATTTGCACGATAACTGCACAGTGCTAAATGAAACACTATTTCTGAAATTTTTCCTCATTCATTGGAAAACAGTTTAATTCGTAAAAATGCTGTTTTCAATAAAAAAAAAGGCAAATTCGCGGAAGACAAACACGACGACCATTACACTTTGACGGCTGTTTTCGTTCCGTCACTTTTTGCCCCCCTCCACAATTCAAACAAGCTCGCAATACGAGGGTGAATGAAAACTAATCTAAACCACACTCTCCTCAACCATTCGGTCTATATTTCTCTTTATTTAATGACGTCTAATAGAAAAAGGCAAAAGGCTATCGAAAGTACAGTAATTCTCACATGGGAAAGCAATAGCTTTCCGGCAATTTACATCTTTTATCCTTCTCGCGAGCGTCGTTTTCATGTATCTTTTGTTGCCTTTGTTTGGTGTTGCGCAAACACAAGCAGAAGAATGCACCATTTTGTTACAAATAGCTCCGCGCCATCTGCGCGCTGTCGTCAACACTTCTCATTTCGATTAAACACTGTCCCTGTAAGCACGAATGAAAACTCTCAAATAGTAATGGCGTCGTCGCGCATTCTATTGTTTGGCGGAAAAAATGTAAAAAATTTTGTAAATTTTCCATCTAAAGCACTGTTAATTTTAGGTTCTTGGTTGTATTTATAAATTTCTTTAATTAAATTATCATCGTCTCTTTGAGATAAACTGTGGTTTGTGAGTCAAGTTTACTGTAAAAAGTCATTGATTTGGAGGCCAATACCTAACCTAAATATTTGTTTATATTTAAGATTTACCTTTAATTGTAAACAAAGGGAGTTTTAAATTAGAAAGCAAATAATTTAATTGTAGATAACAACCCACACCTAAGTATGCGTTTCTCTTATCTATATTCATCAAGTGCTTTATATTTCATTTGATGACAATGTGAAAATTTTCCGTTTGGTGTTATTTTCTCGAGATGGTTCAATAATGATTAACCGTGATTAATAACTAAAGCCCGGTTAATTAAACTTTATATTCAGTAAATTGTAATTGTGCCGATAATAAAAAATGCCTCGCAAGTATGACAATAGGCGAAACTACAATGTATACAGTAATTTTCATGTGGTGGGTATGGATAAGGAAAGAGACAGCATTTACAGTATACCCTTCTGGATCGGGCTGTTAGTCTTTGTTTTTCTATGGGGAATATTTGGTGTGGTTTATTTGTCAGATGCAGTATTGCCTACAGCTTTAGAAGTTGCTGATGAGGTAAGTCACATTAATAAAATTGTTGTTTTTATTTCCCATTGAGCCCAGATATGTAGATAATCAACTAGAGAATGACAAGATTTACTTAGCGCGCCGCCCATAAGTTTGCAATGAATCTACCAACAATTAGTTAGTGGCTGTTTTTTAAATAATTGATGATTGTCCTGTTGACGAGTCCAAGGTAGCACCGTACGTGAAAAAGACGTGGTATTGAACGACGAAGCAACCAATGTGATCAGGTCATATCGACATGATTATCACGATAATATCTCCCAGAGAACGTTTCCAAACGAGGTACTCAGCCTCACCAAAACATTAAAAATCCCACTTTTCGTGTCGTGTCTTTCCATAAAATATTCTTAGAAAAACTGCATCACAGTTTCAATCGAAAATTGCGTGTCAATATAAACGGATATAAACCTTCTGAAAACTACAAATTGATTACAGACTTGTAAACTTGTAGACAAACTCAATTGTTTACAGAAGTTTACATAAATAAACGTTGAACAGGAAATTTTTATTTTATTAAGAAAGTTTTTTATTATTTACTATAGTGACTACTAGATATCCTGTCGAAGTTACTAAAAGTTGGTGAATTAAAAAAAAAAATGCGTGTCTTTTCGGTCTCGCAATTCACAATGGCCTTTTACCCCTTTTACCCCAAAATCATGCTTCCAGTGTCGCGCAATAAAATTCTTAGTAAACTTCTGAAAAACTTACGAAATACACTTCCAAAGCCATAGAAGGTGAGCATCAAAAAGTGAATTCGAAGTCGGAAACTTCGGATTCACGGGCTCAGAAATTTGTATTTGTTTGAATGTTTGTAAATAGTCAGGAGAAATGTTTGCTATATTTTGTAATAATAATAAAATGTATTTTCTCAGAAAACGCGCTGTCCTTTACATTATTTGTTAAACTGTATTTTTCCTAGACTGATTATCCAGATTCATTTATTACCGAAAGGGCCGTCAATGACCTAAACTACCTTACAAGTTTGGGCCCAAAATTGACTGGTAGTTCTGAGAATGAATATGTTGTGGTTGAATATCTTTCAAACACAATAAGCTCCATCATTTCCGAATCGCATCCAAATCAGTACATCGAGTTTGATCTACAAAATGTAACAGGTATATGAGTTATTTAATTATTGCAAGTAGTAGGTTTTATTCGGTTTCTCTCGTTTATTGGCGCTTTATTGCTTGATCATTAGCTCTTTCCCCATTTGGTGAGGCCTTTAAACGAGCATACAAACAACTACTGAAAGTTTTTCTCTGATTTCCTTTTTTCTCCTTAGGTGGATATTATTTGGACGATATAGCAGGATTCATGAACGTTTATGATCGAGCTCAAAATGTTATCGTAAAATTACATGGCGCTCAGAATGAATCTCAGAATAGTCTATTGGTTAATTCGCATTTTGATACTGTTCCCGCTAGTCCAGGTAACGTTAAGCTTGAAAATGCTCAATTTTAATTCACCAGCCACAAATAAACGAAAAAATATTTCCGGCTGCAAAACAAGATTATTATCATTAAATTACACTTGAGAAAATCACTAGTTATTGATGGAAGAATAAGAAATATAAAACATTGTATCGCAAATATACATATAAGTAAACCATCTGTGAAATATTCAGGCGGTAGCGACGATGGAATTAATGTGGTGATTATGTTGGAAATATTGCGCAAACTATCTCTCAGTGAGGAAAGGCAATCACACAATATTATATTCCTTTTTAATGGTGCCGAAGAAGCTCCCTTAAAGACTGCTCATGGTTTCATTGCTCATCATAAATGGGCCCAGGAGTGAGTTGGTTTTTTATTTAAATCCAAGTAAATTATGCAAACACATATTCATTAAGCCTAAGGAATACTAATTAATCGGAGCTAGATTATTGAATTTCTCAATCAATTTTTCTAACACTTTGTTTAAGGTGTAAAGTGTTGATAAACTTGGAATCTTCTGGAGCAGGGGGAAAATTGATTTTATTCCAAACAGGACCCCAAACTCCCTGGTTATTGAAATACTACCGAAAAGTACCCCATCCTTATGGAAGTGTTTCAGCTGAAGAAGTATTTCAAGCTGGAATAATCCCTTCTGATACGGATTTCAGGATTTTTAGAGATTTCGGGAATTTAGTTGGTAACGTAGTATGGTTCAAATTGCTTGTGAATAATTAAGTAGCATTACGCGAATAAAGCTATAGTCTGTGTGTTTTTAGGCAACATTTAAATCTAGTGTCTATCTACTGTGTGATATTTCTAGGTGTCGACATGGCTTACTACAAAGATGGGTATAGATACCATACGAAATATGATGGTTTCGACAATATTCCTTTGGGTTCTTATCAACATGGTGGTGATAACACTCTAGCTTTGGTCAAGTATTTAGCAAACGCTCCAGAAGTTGCAGGTGAGCGTTCTTAACCGCCCAACTTAAAGCTCACTTTTCGGAGTAATAAATATAGTAACCGGCAAGTTTTGGTTTTAATTTTTCAGAGCAAAACGGATCGATTGGCAATTCAGTTTACTTTGATGTATTTGGATTGTTTATGATCGCCTACAGTAACACGACGGCTATAATTGTAAATATTTCCACTGCAGTTTTATCTTTTGCAGTTTTAATTTACAGTTTTATCATTTTTGGAACAGGTATGCTTGAACAAAATATCATTTAGCGCATTTATTGGTTTCTTATTTTGCTAGTAATTAGTTTCCTTTTCTTCTACTTATATTATACTGTAATTCCCAAAAACGACTATCAGTCAGCAGATGAAATGCTAAATTTATTAGATACTTATGAGCCGAAGGTAAAGTTCTATATATTTTAGGACTGAAAAAATCAACTATTAAATTTTATCTTTTTACCGTTCTGGCTATAATATTTGGATGGATTTTATCGGCATTGTATGTAGTTGGACTAGCTTATCTACTGGATCCATTAAGTAAAACGATGTCTTGGTATGGAGCGCCATGGTTCATTTTTGGCCTTTATATTGTTCCCACTTTTGGATTATCTGGATTTTTGACTTCGTTCGTTAATAATCGAGTAAGTATAAATTTTGACAATGGGATTGGCTTTTAACTTACCACATTTATAAGAATATTAAATATTTTCTTTCCTGTATACTTGATACAATTCAAATACAGTAACTAGTTTTTATATATTTTGATCTTAAATCGCGATAATAAATGGCATGAAAACGTAATCTATATTTGCGGATTTATTACCCATTTTGATCCCAGCATCGATCTAAAACCATACGTAATTAATTCAAATTATTTTATTATTATGGTCATGTGCGGATTATTGATAAACAATGAATAAATGTAGCAAACAAAATGCTGTTCTACTTTTAATCAAGATTTTTTAGAGAGGGTGTAAAAATTGATTAAGGGAAATGTCGGTTGGTGGTAAATCGAAAACACTTCAAATGAACATGGTCCACAAGAGGATCACTTCCAAGTTTGGAAAGTGAAAGCGCAATTCTCAAGTAATATTCAAGTAGTAAAGTAAACTTTACACTTTAAACACTTTACCTTTTTTTGAGAAAAAATCACAATTCTATACCTAGGCGCGTTCAAGAACTGCATAAGAAAACCGAATACTCACTAAACGGTACTTCTGAGTATTGAAGATACCTTGAGTGTGTTTCTTAACACACACTCACGTTAAAGTATAAAATAGCCCATATATTACACACCATACACATTTTACATACCAAACGGATTTTACATATCATTATTACAAGTTACACTGGATAACATCGTTTCGCTAATAGAGAGCAGTACAACAATTTTCAGAATCTCTCATTGGGAGTGCGGAGCCAATTACAGGCTCATTTACTTCGATTGGTGTGGACTTTCTTGCTGATTGTTGGAACTATTTTGAATATACGTTCAACATATATTATTATGATTCCCGTTTTATTCAGTTCTATTGGATTTCTGGTTATTAACGTTTTCCGATTGCATCGTACAGGTAGGCATGTCTATTCTTGTAAATTTATTAAATTGCACGTTGACAAAAACCAAATTGATCCACCAGAACATGGTGAAACAATGAGTACATTTCGAACAATTTCTTTGTAGGCCGCTCGTTTTAAATGTTCTTATCTGCCTACAATTTTTCCACATTTCCATCAAAAAACATATTTATTTTCAGTTAGAGTTTGGCTAATCATATATACTGGTAGTTTGTTAATCCCAATTGCTTATATAATATACCAAGGATGGTTATCGTTGGTTTGTTTTATACCAATTACTGGCAGATTGGGATCTGACAAAAATCCGGAACTGTACATTGGGCTTATAACGTTGTTATACACCTTGTTAGCTACATCGCACTTGGTAACTAACAATTGGAACTTTTTTTCCTTTGTCAAAGGGTTTAAAACGAAAACTTTAATTAATCCCTAAGTGATTTTTAGATAATTCTTACAGCTCTATTAAGACGGTCTCGATGGTATTATTTGGCACTTTCAACCACGTTTGTCGTCTTTTTTGTTCTACTGTTTACCCCTATAGGGTTTCCTTACAGTGGAGACACAAATGGACCAACAMCTCAAAGGCACTGGATTGCTGTATGTATTTTACGCTTTATATAATTTATGYTAGTGGTTAAAAAAAAAATTTAYGTTGGTGGTGTACTCTTGGTTTTACTGTTAATGTCTTTACCAGAATTATTCGCTATTTTTAATCTCGCTCACACTTTATCAGTCATTTCTATAATCACATAATAGCCCGTATATGTAATTTTTTTTTGCGCCTTCAATTTAATTTTGCAAATATATATGTATACGATTTTAGCATACACATAGACAATTTTTCGATAAAACTGCGAATCTTACTAGAAACAATTCTGGGATTTTATTGCTGAATATGGATAGAAATTCGCCCAACGCTGTAAAGGCATATGTGCCACAATTAAAAGAGCCACTATCGATAGAAGATGATTGCAACCAATATACTTTTTGTGCAATGCCGCTTACTTTGGGTAAAGCAATCAAAAGAATGTACGCGTTTGATTGATTATGGTCTATCATCGAAATAAATTGCACACTGTTTTAGTAAATACAGCTCTTGGATCGTTGCTAGTCAGCCAAGTTTTCCTGCGAATGAAACTTTAAAATTCGAAGTGGTGTCAAAGGATTATGTAACCTCTACTCGTTTGAAGTACTTTCTTCGAATTACAGGTAATTTCTCTCTAATATCTATTTGTTGTTAAGTAAATGAATACATTTTGTAGTTATCGAAGAATATCAAATTTCATCAGAAGCTAATTTATTACGTGTTCTTATTAAGCTAACTATAATAACTAATAATATAAATAACTAATTTACGAATTTGCCAGACTTGATTGATTTGTATGTTTTTTTAGAGTTTTGTTGAAATTTTGTATTATTTCAGGACCTGATAGGCTTGAATTCTACTTCACACCGAAAACAAACGCAACTTTATTAAGCGTCTCGCTTATTGATGCCGTAGAGCCGACCAAGTTTACATTTAAGGATCGTTCAGTTTATGTGGTTTTGTATCAGTTGGGAAAAGGCGATGGTAAGAATAGTAAACATATTCAGATTGCTAAGAATTCGGAAATTGAAATTTTCTTTGAGTCGTAAATAAAAACTGGCAAGTTTTGCATCATTTTTCGCGTTATCCTGAATTTTATAGTCATATAATTTAATTTGCCATTCTGAAGCTTACATAATTTTTGTATTATCGATAGGTTATAAATATCGGAACATTTTAGAAAAAGTCCGGTTTCGATAATTTTTACACTACTGTACAATAATATATCTATTACTAATAAATAATTAAACGGAATAATTCAAAAATATACCTCGTTTGAGTAGGATTTCCTAAAATTGAGACTGTTTAGGTTCAAACGTAATAGACTTTGGTCAAATATTTTGCGAATGTTTATCATTATATCTACATTTAATCTTTTGAATTCATTTACAATTCCATGTTGAAATTTTACATTTGACTTTGGCATCGACTTTATGATATTTGAATATTACTTGAATCAATGTTTGAGAAGTTATTTTGAGATGTGAATTTCATTAGGCCATCGTGTATATTAATGCGATCTATGAATTGGCGCGCTGCGTTTGTCAATATTTCTAATTAGTCTGTTATAAGTCGATTAGTACTGTTTACTTGTAAAAATTTTAGGTACACCTTTAGAGTTCAATCTCGTTATGGAAATACCGGAAAACCACCAGGGCCCAACTGTTGATTTGGGTATATCTGCACGATACGTTCACCAGGCTAGGATTGAAAAGAATGCGGAATATTTAGAGTTTTTAAGCAAATTTCCAGATTGGGCACACCTCACATCCTTCTTAGCGGCCTATCAATCCCATATTATATAAAAGAGAAGACTGGAACAGAGTTCCTGGTAGACAGGAAATGATATTATTATTTGTATTGTTGTTGTTGCTCAACAATTGGTGAAATGTTTCTTTAGTGTTATCCTTTGCCACTTGGTATTCCAATGAATAGTTGTAACATTTTCTGAAGGAAGTTTTTTAATAAATAAATAGTTTTGGAAAGATAAGGAAGTTTCTGATTGTAATAAATTAAAAAAAAAATACAACTGCAGCAAGAGCCAAAAATATTGGTGCAGAAGATCTCTCTCTATTTCTCGGCATTCATTTGCCAACCAAGATACAAGGGACGAGAGAAGAAAGTACCCGTGAAAGTGTGGCCTAGAAGAATGTGTTCGTCATGGCGACTTCATATCTTTTATTTTGCTGAAGATATAATATGTTATATTGTCAAGGCCAAGTGTCTAGCTTGATGCCATTCTTTTCAACCAACCAAACGAATTTTTTATTGTCGGTTTTCCGTTTCACTGTCACTTTTTGATCGCTGGTCTTGCGGGATAACGATTGCGAAATGAACGGCTATTACGAGGGGAAATTTGAATCGGAACAACAGAGATTAACCAACAATCACGTGCTGTTTTGAAGGCGGATTTTTAAGAAAATTAAGCGAAGAGAAATTTGTTGATGCGACCATCGCAACAGTGTTGAATTAAAGTATTGTGACTTCCTGGCCGACAGATAATCAGATTAATTTTCCAGAACCATTGTTCTTTTCAGTATTCATATTGTATTCAGTTTTCAATGTCGGAGGTAAAAGGTATTTTTTAGAATAAATTTAGAAATTTGGCAGCGATTTGGCGCACGAAAAAATGTGGAACGTTTCTAGATACATTCTTCATAAGGAGCAACAAAAGCACAACTAAAAAACTGTTGTGTAAAAAAAAATTGGAAATAACATTACTTCACGCTCTTTACCCAAATAAAGCATGTACATTTAGAGTTGTTTCAAATACAACAGCGAAAGTAGGAATATTTGGTGGAAAAAATTGGCAGGCCAACTTTTAGTCGTTTAACTTAGAATTGAGCGCAAAGTTCATAGAAATCTTCTCAAGCTCAAGAGTTGAAGTTGCAATGGTCAACACACACTTACTTTTTATCAATAGCATCCAAGATTTATTTAATTTACTTAGTTAACTAAAG